CACCGCTTTTTTTATGTTGTGGCAAGGAAGTGTTGAAAAGTAGAATTCACGTCCTGAATCAAGTTGCAAAACATGCGAGACTCATCATTAGGCCTCATTTAAAAGGCATCCACAAATAAAATAGACAACAGTATAAATGAAGACTGGTTTTTCAACAGTTCTTTTTCCCAAACAAATGCTCTATGACTATCAATAGCCTAGACAGACAGAGTAAGTCTGGCTGGCTACTGACAGAAACCAACCTCACATTTTCAGTAGTGTAATGTTTTGGAGTGGAATTATAGTTGATGAAGCAATAGGCTAATTATGAATTCCAGATGGTGTTAAGATAACAGCTCAGACATAGAGGGAATTTTTTGAGGACATATGTGGGCTGTGACAAGAAGTCAAATTTTTGCAGAAAGATTTTTTACGCACAGCAATGCTTCATCATTTTGGTGAAGTAAACTATATTGAAATAAAATACATTTCAAAGACACTCATTTTATAGAGTGGCTGACTTGTATAACTGATATTAATCTGACTTAAAACTTGTGGAGCATTTGGAGAGGAAGGCTTGGTGGATGTAAATTTATGAGCAAAGATGATATTTGGTATGTTATTCTGTACAAACCTTTTCATACAACCCACCAAATCAATGAATAAACAACTTCTAAAAGAAGTATCAGAATATAGACCATACATCTCTCATGAATGTTTTCATTATAATTTTATTGTCATTACAATGACAGAGTTTTCGATATTGTGTTCAAAGTATTTATCTTTTAATTTTTGTATATGTTACATAATTATAATTTTTAAATAAATCATAATGTTCCTTAATGTTTCAGTAATATAGCCGATAATGTGAAACTTGGAAAATGTAGAATACATAAAGCAGTTGTAAGAGTAATTTATATATATTATGTGAAATATCTTGTATATTAATGGTGCAAATATTACTGTAAAACTATTCATTAGTTTATTAGATATTATGAGAAATCAAAAATGTGAAACAATTTTGTATTTATATTATAGATAGATAGATATGTATGTATGGAAAAGTTGTGAAGACTTGGCGACCTCATTGACAGAGTGAGTAGTGACCATAACACATGGCCTAGATGTTTGGTATAACATGGAATCGGTAAATTGAATGACAATGGCCAACAACTGCTCGAGCACTGTTTGTTTCACAAGCTATGCATTACCAATACATATTTCCAGGCCAAAGCCCAGTACAAAGTCTCCCGGCCACACCCCAGCTCTAAACATTGGGATCAGCTAGATTTGATCTCATGAGATGCAGATACCTGAAAAACATGCACATGATGTGATCCCTTCAATGCTCCAACTGTAACATGGATCATGCCTTGATTTGCTGCAAATTCAGTCTTCAAGCAAAGAGGATGCATTATGCCAAGCCTCCAGGCAAACAGTATATCAATGTCACCACAATCCAGAACTCAACCAAATTGGTGATATTTATCAAGTCTTTAAGGTATGCCCTCCTCACAAACTAGCCTAGAGGAATTGTCCAGCAGAGATAGGATACTTTCAGGGACACCATCCATGGAACCCGACTAGACACTTTTTAGAGGAATAGGAGCAAGACAATGAACTGGTTCAAATCAAGTGCAAATGAGCTCAATGTGGCCATCAAGAAGAATCACATTGAACTATTGGAGTTCAAACACCAACCTACTCAGGCACTTTTGCAAGATTTGAGGACAGCCAGAAACAATGCACAGATCTCTAGATGCTGGGTAGATGACTACAAATGACACTGACAAACATTGAAGAGGTGAGTGGAGCACTCCTCAGATCTGTACTACTGTACTACTTGGATGATGCACTAAGAACAGTAACTCATCTATTGGTCATGGAGAGACTGGATGTACTGCTTACTGGTGGGTAACTGAGCAGAGCCATTGACAAGTTACCCATGGGAAAGGCACCTGGATTGGATGGCATTCCATCTGAGGCCATCAAGTACACAAGGGATGTTTTATTTGACTACATGGTGAGTCTACTCTGTCAATGCTGGAAAGAGGGAATAGTGCCACAGAATATGAGGGACTGCAATATTGTCACTCTATATAAGAATAAGGCATACCAAAGTGATTGCAACAGTTACAGAGGAATCTCCCTGCTGAACATTGTCAGGAAGCTCTTTGCCCTTGTGGTCTTCAGTAGGATAGAGAAGTTCACCAAAAAGATATATTCTAAATCCCAGCGTGGTTTCAGGTCAAAGCATTTAACAACTGACATGATCTTCTCCATTCAACAACTACAGGAGAAATGTTGAGAACAGGGACAATCACTATACATTGCCTTTGTTGACTTCACAAAAGCATTCCATCTTGTGAGCAGGGATGGCATGTTCAAGTTACTCAACAAGATTGGTTGCCGTCCAAGACTCCACAAGATTGTCCATTCATTCCATGCAAATATGAAGGTTGCCATGCAATTTGGTATCTCTTATTCAGAGGCTTTCAGTATCCATAGTGGCATGAAGTAGGGTTGTATGCTTGCATCTACCTTATTTGAATCTTCATCATGGTCATGCTAAAATGTACTTCAGAGCGTCAACCAAAACTGATGACGTTGACCTGAATACAAAAACAGATGGAAGACTGTTCAGTTTGTCTTGGCTGAGAGCAAAATTCAAAGCTTGTTTGCTGGTTATTAGAGACATGCTGCTTGCAGATGATGCAATGCTGGCAGCATACTCTGACAAGCAGCTGCAGTGACAATTTTTCAAAAGCCTGCCAAGAGTTCAGTCCGACCATAAGTTTGAAGAAAACAATGTGATGGGCCAAAGTGTTGAACAAGTCTCCTATATCAAAATCAACAACACTGACCTGGAGATGATTCATAAATTTGCATACCTTAGCTACACCATTTCAGACACCCTCTTATTAGACACTGAGGTCAACAGACAGATTGGATGAGATGCCACCATGTTTGCCAGGCTGACCTTGAGTGTCTGGGAGAATAGAAAGCTTAGTATAAACACCAAAATTGAAGTTTATAGGGCTGTCATCAGCATGCTGCTCTACAGCAGCATGACTTGCAGCCTCTAATCCAGAAAGGAGACATGCCTCAGCGCCTTTCAGCTTCACTGTCGGCACATCAATTGGTTCAACTGCATCACCAATGCTGTTGTTTTCACCTCTGCCTAGTTAAACAACATATATGCCCTTCTCTAATAGTGCCTTGTCCACCGGCTTGGACATGTACATCATATACCATATGGGAGGATTTAGATAGATCTTCTGTATGGAAAAAGACTGGCCACAGAGACATGAGAACAATGGACATGGACATTGAGAGGTGGGAAGATATCACCAATGATTGCTCACATTGAAGACACAATTTACACTGAGGATTGGAGCAAGGAGAGGAGAAATGAAGGCTTGCCACTGGGAAGAAGTATGCTGAATGAAAAGAAAACAACCTGGTGACATCAGCAGAGACTGTTTTCATTTGCATTCATTGCAATCAATACTGTCACTCCCATATGAGCCTGTACAGTCATAACAGATGCTGTTCCGCCATCAGCATCTTAGATATAACTCTTTGGGTGCAGATCCAAGGTCTCTTAAGACCAAAGGATACCATACACACACACACATATATATATATATATATATATATATATATATATATATACAAAGAGAGGGAGAGAAAGAAATTAAGCAAATTACACCATAAAAGCAAGACTTGAAGTCATTTTTGTTACACTGCATCCACATCCACCATGATTTTCATGTGACATATTCTCTTCCTTATCTTGCATATTTATGCTCTAATACTATAATTATGAAGTGCTAAATTGTAGAAATGCTCACAAATTTGATAGCTAAAAGCAGTTGATAAAAGAATCATTTTTAAGCAATTCCTACGTTATAAAATGTTTGAAATATTACACAAATAATGTATAAGATCAATAAATTCCAATAAAAAATTTTGTATAACAAATGTTTCATCCTTGTCATAAAAGAGCAAGTTTTGAATAGTAAAATTAATTTAACGAACAGTTCTTTCATGCAGAAGAGAAATTGATAGACAATTAATCAAGAATCAATACAGCAACCTATTTCAAAAGGTTTTATTCTTCATATCATTCTGTTTATTGCAAAGCACATGAAATGAATATTTTATAAGAATGTTGATTAAGTTTTTTGTCATTTGTTTCAAAGCGTTTCAAATCCTCATTGATTAGAAAAATGTAATGCACTAAACAAAGAAAAACACGACAAGCAAGCAATTCATTACAACAAAATATTCTTTTACTTTGTCATATTATTAATACTACTTTTTTAGGATAGAGTATTAGTCTTATTATAGCCTTAAGGCCTAAAATTATTAAAGATGGAAAGAATATTACTAATTCCTTTTGTTTAAAATGACTGACATGTGCTAGTCTGTATATTAATATCCAGATATGTAAAGAATGTATTTTTGTAACAGATATTTGTACTCCATTTCAAGTAAAAACTGTCCATTTGCTTTGCATTTGAAATGTTTATGCATTACTGATTTTTGTGTAATCCCTCAAATTTTGTAATACTTCAGTCACTGCTATTATTAGTAAGAATTCCAAATTCAGCAAGTAATAAACCTTCAGCTCACATATAATTCTTAGCACTAATAGTGTTGACTGCATGAATACATGTATGCTCCACAAAAATGGATTGATTTTTCCCATTTTTTGTAATCACTTTCCTTGAATATCATGATGACTGAGTGAATGATTGATTCGTTTTCTATAGCTTTATCAACCCTTTTCAGATTATTTAAATCTGGAAAATTGTAAGATTTCTTTTTGAGATAATAATAGCTTAGTGATACAACTCTTACTAATTAATTCATAGGTTGGGGAGAAAAGGTGCATTCATACCTTTCCCAAGGATATTTGTGTGTAAGTCAATATAACAATCCCAATGAGAATTGAAACTCATTATTCTGATTAACAATTTCAAACTATAATCCATTACACCACCCACACCTCCAAGCTTACAGCACCTGGTATTTTTAAGGGGTCATCCATCTAGGTACTGACCAGGCTTGACATTGCTTAACTTCAGTGATCTTATGAGAACTGGTGTTTCAATGTGATGTGGTCATAAGCTTATCATGACAAGAATCTTAGTTTCATTTAAACTAATACTGCTAATCTAATGTATAATTTGTTGAATTCATGAAATAAGTCCAGAGTTGCTTGTCTAATTAATACTTATATTTTAAAAATGTAGAAAATTTTATATATAAATGTGAAATTTATAATAATAATAGAACATGAAAAGCTATCATCAAACTGTAGTAGTTTTTTTGACTGTATATGGACACAGATATATAAAATGAATTGTTTCACATGAACAATGGACACCTATTTTACTTTCATTTTTGCTAAAAAAAAAATGGGGCAGTAATCCAACAAATAATCACTTCAGATTGAAGAAGATTCTCTTATGAAATCTGATTTGCAATGTATGTTTCTAAATGTTGTGGCCAATGTACAGTGTGACCACTTTTGCTGTTGTTGTTAGAGGTATGGAATTAACACATTAATTCTATCTATATTTTTTACGCGCGCCTTGAGTTTTCCTCCTTCCTTTCACACTCGTGTGTGTAGAATTGCATGCGGTTTGCACCCCTCCCTTCCTCTCACAGCTAGACGTAGCAGTAATCTGGAGGGGGAACTTCGCTAGCTCCTACTGATGAAGTCAGCCTAACAGATTTTGAATTTTTTCCCGCGCGTTTCTCAGCGTCTCAAACGAACAGCGTTTGCAAGCTAGTTGCTTCCCGATCTTCAACCTGACTAGATGGGCAACTCATTTATTCCATGCCCTTAACCCATATGCGGGCCGGAATATCTTATTTCAACAATGTCAACCTCAAACTTGCTACCCGCAGGTCAGACCTTCTCCGTTTTCGACCAGAAGACGTTCGAGACACACGACACAGTCGTGAGCAAAACTTCGTATTCAACAAGTGGCTTACTTTTATCCCTCGTCAGTCAAACTTTAAATACAGACAGGGATATCTTACTGACAAACAGATATTCTTCGTCCTTTCTGGACTCGCCATAATTAACTTCTCATAGACGATGCAACCAACTGCAATTAACTCTTTGTCCTTTTGGCTAGTTGTCCACAGCTTTCCGTTAAAATTTTCAACAGTTAATTCGAGACCTGACCGAACTCTGAGGCCCTACTTTGAACCTGAACATAAAAAAGAAAAAAGAAAAAACACAAAATCACATACACTCTCAACGCCAAAAAAATCCACAGTGAGTACTCCTTTCTATCTGTGCGCACCTACACCTCTGTTAACGAGTTCCTTTTTCCAGAACCTTATAAAACTCTTTTTCCCGCCTTGTTCATCTTGCATTTCTATTTAGGTGCGGAACTTTTCCCTGATCTCATACCACGAGATAGCCGAAATAAAATGACAAAGACTATCTCTTTGATGTTTATTAATTTATGCACTTGTTGATTGACCCCTTTCCTCTCACTGTTCATTCACGCATTTTTTATTTTTTTTATACATTGCTTGTGGACTCGGTAGTTTAGTGTGGTGTCTGGCACAAGGCCACTTTGTAATAAACCAGCACTGCATGCTGCCGGGTCTGCAACAGAGGTATTGAAATTTTAAGTGAGGGCATGTGGTCTATTGGTTTACTTTGATTTGTGTTAGATGTTTTGGGGAATGTTTTTTAATGTAAGCAGGTTTTAAATGATCAATTGATACAATGTCTTTTTTTAAATTGTAAAATATTTTTCATGTCACTCCAATACTTTATGTAGACCTGAATAATTTGGGAATAATAGTTTCTTAACTATGTCATTTCTAAGAAAAATATACTTGCAATTATATAGATCTGCAGATATAAAAGATTACTTAGTCACACATCTAGTGAGTGTAAAAGATAACATATTTATCTTATCTTTTAAAGTCTGTTGACAAAGTCTGTAGAGGGGGCTGATATTTTGTCTACCTCAAAGTATTGACCAGGTAATGTCAGTGAGGTTCCAAAAAGGAGTCAGCTGGTGAGCATTGTAAGTCTTCTTTTAGAGTATTTTGAATTGATAAGAGGGTAGCAGGTAGGTTATCTATCCAATTATCAGGGTCAATCTTTATGTCTAGTGGAGTTTTTAGTTGTCAGTGGAATCTTTCCACAATCCCATTGGCACAATAATGGTATGCAGTAGTCTGGATATGTTTGACTCCAAGTAGATTGACAAATTCCTTAAAAAGTATAGATTGAAACTGTGATCCTCTGTCAGTAGTAATCACAGATAGCACTCCAGTTGTCCTGTATTACTTTTGCGATAGTCTCGGTGAAAGTATGTGGAATAAGAAAAGCAGCAGGGCATTGACTAAATCAGTGCATTATGGTGAATATATAAGTGAACCATGTGCATTTGGGATAAAGCCAACAATGTCTATATGAAATGGGTGATTTTGTATATTTTCCAATTTAGTGTTTTTGACACTAAATGCATTGCTGCATCAAAGTTTTTTTTTTTCAGTGGACATATTTGGCCATACAAATTGATCTGTGATCAATAAACATGCTAAGATATGATAAAGCATGAAGGTGGTTGAAAATTTTCTGACATAATTTCAATGGGGGTATATAAGGTTGATTGTAATGTTTTTCATGTTACATAAGAAATTCAGATGTCCAAAAGGGACAGGCAAACATTCAAGCTGCAGTAAATATTTTCCTTGATTTGCAAAAAGTGTAGAGTCTTTTTTTTGTTCCTCAGTGATATTCTTGCAGCTTAAACTTTCCATAATTAATACAGGAGAGTACATCTGCAATAATATTTTCCTTATCTTTTATATATTGTTTGTCTGAAATAAATTGTGAAATGTAGTCCAGATGTCTTCTTTCACGTGGTGAATATTTGTCGGGTTTGCTGTAGAGGGCATAATTGATTGGCTTATGGTCTATAAATACAGTGAGTTCAAATCCCTCTGAAATATAACAGAAATGTTAGGTAAATAAATAGTAAGAAGTTCTCTTGAAAATGTGCTGTATTTCATCTTTGAGGAATTCAGCTTGAGAGAGAAAAAGGATATAAGTTTCTTTTCTCTGTTAATATTTTACTGTAAAATGGCACCAAAAGCATTCAATGAGGTATCTGTTGTTAAAGTTAGTACTGCGTTCTTATCATCACTGAAGTAATTTAGTTTTATAACATACATGTTGTGATGTCCTCCCTCTAAGGAGTCTATGTTAGACTCTTCTGCCTACTATAAGATTAGTAGGACAGAAGGCTTCAGTGAACAGCATTTGAGCGCTAGTTCATTTGATACACTCTCACTAGCCATGTAATACTCTTTTGGTGTACTTGCTGTTCAACATACAATATATCTGAAAACCTGGTTTTTGTTATTACTTAACCATTTACTTAGTCACAACATTTTGGCGGCAAAGGGTTCAAAGAAACAGACTTCACATTAAATCACAAAAAATTTTTCGCCAGTGTCTACAACAGGGGTGAAGAAAGGAATTCTAATCTAACTACATAAAAGGGTATCCAGTGTTAATTACAACACTGACAGTGAAAAAAAGAAACTCTTCAAAACAAGAGGATTTCTACAAGTTCAATTCAGTAGTTGGGAAGAAGGTTGGTGAACCTTGTTATTTTTTTCCATTCCAACAAGTCAGTGAAAGAATTTGTTGTTTTCGCTGATAGGGTAAAGTAAAAATTTACCCCCTCTCTCGCTTTTAAATTTTTCAGTAAAAGAATCATACAAGTCAAACAGACTTATTTAAGAGGGTAAAGAGAAAAAATTCCCCCTTCTTATTTCTTAGTTTTATGCAGTAAAATGGACAAATTTAAAAGTGTAATGCTAGAGTTGTTGAAACACCAACAGGAACAACAACTACTGTTGGAACAGAAATATCAAGAAAGATAGAAACACCAACAGGAACAACATTTGCTGTTGGAGCAGAAATACCAAGACAAGAGAAATTCCAATGAAAACAAGCAGAATACCAGAAGAAATTTGAGGAATTGCACCTAGAAATGCAGGTTAGGCAACAGAAACTGGAAAAAATGCTCCTTTAAACACAGAATGAGCAAAGGCACTTGTATATGTCTATAAAAAAAACAAAATGAGGTCACAATAGTGCATTCTCGAAATGCTATATGGAGTGCTATTGAAAACTTCACGTTTGCACCTGAAGAAGAAATTACATTTGCTTCATACTTTAAATGTTATGAGGACTAATACAATATGGATTGTGCAAGTTGGGCTGACCATAAAACGTTTCGCCTACTCCTCAGGAAATTAGGCACAGCAGAATACACTAATTTTGTTAACTATATTTTGCCTAAGAAAACCAGCAACTTGAAATTTAAAGAGGCGTTAGAAATGCATGAATCTCACCCACAAACAAGACGAAGATTATACTACTTTCACGAATGTAGTTAATAAACACTGCAATGATTTCAAATTGGCAGAGTTAAGTGCCAATAATTTTAAATGCTTGATTTTCATCCAGGGTTTGATTTCAGCTAAAGACGGTATAATACATTGTTGGGTACTCAACAAGCTTGAAAACAAGCCCAACATTACTTTACAGCAAATTGCTGAAGATTGTCAACGTTTCGTTAGCATCAAAGAGGATTCAAAAAACATTGAACAGAGTGGTATAGCTCACATTCAAGAAATATGCCAAAGAAAAATTTAAAAAATATGCCAACCAAAGAATAAAGTTACTTTGCCTTCAAGACCATGTTTCAGGTGTTGTCAATTACATTGGTATAGAGATTGTCCTTTTAAACATAAAAATGTTTTAATTGCAATAAATTGGGACATAAAAGTTCCCACTGCAGTATTAAGAACAAGACAAAAAAAAGTGGTGTAAAAATTACCAAGTCTGATGAACCAGAAAGTAATGACATCAGGAAATATATTGAAGTGCAAATATTTAATAAAAATATAACACTACAGCTTGATTTGGGTTCAGACTTATCCATAATTAATTATCAAATATGGAAAAAACTGGGTAAGCTGACTTTGTTAAGAATGAACTGAATAGCTAAAAGTGTAATTGGCGATCCTATTAAGCTTATGGGCGAATTTATAATGAATGTGTCATTCAA